TTCCCCCACCATGCCTTTTATCATGAACATTTCTATTTAGATTTCTTTATATGTATTTTGTTAGTGGGATCTTTCGCCATTATATTTCCTGGTGATTATTATAAGAAAACTATTAAATTTCTTATGTTTTGTTGTGTTTGGCCAACCTCACAAACTCTCTGTTTATTTCTAAGGCAATTAACTTAGCCTAGTAAGGTGTACTAATGTCCATCTTTTTAGGAAATCACATAGGATGGGAAGAAATAAGTAGTTGTTGAAATTCCAGGTAACTCAGAGATTGCTCTGCCCTCTGACCAGCTCTAAGACAATTCTTTGGTCAGCCTCTGACTCTGCTGAAAAAAAAATGAGTATTCAGTTAACTATGTGCAAAGGAGCCCAAGGTGTTGAGGAAGAGGGAATTTGTATAATAACATTCTGGTATCTTGCCATAGTTACTAATGTTAAAGACTGGACAGAAGGCTGCCTGGAGACCATCTCTCTACTTAGTCACAACACGTCACCACTGTCTGTGAATGGATTCTGGTCTTTCTGACAGATAGCTAGACTAGACAGCCCACAGATTTAGGGAAAATGAAATTTGTTTTTATAGGTTTTTGTTCTAGCTTCTGGCCAACATTGCCAGAATAAAAGGGCCTAGACCTAGACCATATAATCTGATGTTTTAGATGACCCTACCATGTCTCTTTTCTAGGCCAAAGGTTTGAGGAGGAAGAGTGCGCTCATAAGCATGTGGTCCTGGCACCTCTTCCTGCACCATGGAGTCAGGTCCTTTAGCAAACAACTGCCCATAGCAATGAAGGAAAGGAACCTGGGGCATGATTTTAAGAAAGATGGCACAAGATGGGTGGGAAGTTCTAAAGAACAAGAATCTGATAACATAGTCACAAATGACTCCAGTGAAGAAAAGTGGGAAGTATTAAAATAGCTCTTGACATATTAGACGTAGGGGCTATTTGAGAATCTCTGTTCTAAAACGATAGCTATAGAAGGACATAGAAATAAAAATGAACAGCAAGAACCCATGTGAATATTAGGAAAGAAATTGTGGTCCTAAATCAACTAAGGTTTGCAGAAATTCAGAGGAAAAAAGGGCTGCTTCAGTAACATTC